GTATCTGCACGGTGCCCACGCAGTCACACTGTGCCCACCTGTTTACCACGCACCCACGTATCTGCACGGTGCCCACGCAGTCACACTGTGCCCACATGTTTACCCAATGCCCACGTAACTACACCCATGCCTGCACAGTCGCACTGTGCAAAGGCACTGTAAATGGTACGTGATTCCTGGGTTGGTCCCTGAAGGCACCTGTGGAAAGGCAGGGCTCTGTGGCCGCTGTGGGTCTGGTTCACGAGGAAGACTGCAGCTCCATCTCGTGGCTGGCCTTCCTGTGGATGACGATGAGTGTCTCCAACAGAAACTGGGGGCTGATCCCTTGCAGGACTCTGTCCACACATCTGAGGGAGCACACAGCCCTAAAACGTTCACACAAGTTACAACGAGACAGCCTGTGTGTGGGACGTGGTCAGCTCTATGTGAGGCGGCACTTTCATGTTGTTTGAATGAGTTGCAACCTGCAGAAGTTGACGTTTTACAACCCAACCCCAGGGCGCTCAGCTTTCAGCCCAAGGACAGACAGGCCTGGGAGCTGGACACCCACACCAGGGAGGAACACACCTGCAGAGCTATCAACCACACAAGCTCCAAGGGCGCACACAGCATGGGTCAGGGGTAAGGCTCAGAGGCAGGAAGGGTTGGAAAGAAGGACAAATGGGAACGGGAAACAGAGACGAGGTGGGTAGAGAGCTGTTACACGGGGGGATTGCAATCATTGACGCAAACGGACAATGGATTTGCTCTGTAAGCCTTCACCCAAACCACCAGAAAAACTTAAAAACAATAACAAAGTACAGCAATATCCAGGGTTCTCTTGGCAAAGGCGGGTCCCATGTTCACTGCGTGGCTCGGTTTCCTGCGTGGCCCTTAGCCCTGGCCGGGGCTTCTCAACGCTGCTGCCAGGTTCCACTCCTATGTGCCATGTCTGCACAGGTTTGTTTGAGACCCTGGACTCAGACAGTCTATGTGAGATGATACGAAGCTGCTTACCAAGCCATCACACGCTTCCCTGTAACGGCAGACCTACACCCAACACCTGCCGTTCAGTTCTATTCTAAAGCTCTGAGAATATTATTCATGAATGTGTTTTTCAGGGCGAGCCGTGTGCAGTGCACATCCTGACCCAACTGCCAACAGATTCTGGCCCTCAGGCCAATGAGAGAGTCCCCCCAAGCTCACGTCCGGGGGCACGCCCTCCGTCCCCCGTTCCGCATCTGCCTGAGGCAGGGACACGCTTACCATGGCCAGTGGGATGACTCCAATCACATCCTTTGGGCTCACATAGATCTTGGACACCCCCAGGTCGGAAGTGAGCTCCCCCGGGTACTCGACCTGCCACGTGACCAGCTGTGTGGCCGGAGGGTCGCCGGGTTCTTCTATCTGCACGTCGACCTGCATGACTTCGTCGGAGGCGCCGCCTGCACTGCAGAGAAGAGAGGAGAACGGCTTTGAGGGGTTGGTACGCTCTCCCTGCACCACGGGTCTCTGCGTACACACGTGTACAGCATCATCCCTGAGGAAAGCATTTCCGAGATATGACGCCACAGCGAACAAACCACCTACGTGACGTGGCATTTTCTTGGCCTTATACGTTACCAGTCAATTCCCAACCCCCCAAGAAAGAAAAAGCAAAGCAAACCCGCTGCCGTGCCGTCAAGTCCAACCCACGGCGACCGCGTGGGTTACACAGTGGAAGTGCTCCTTGTTGGCTGTAACCTGTACGGAAGCCGGTCAGCAGGGCTCCCTTCCACGGTGTGGCTGGGCGGGTTCTGACATCGCCTGTTGGCCAGACATCTGCACCTCCCACCCTTTGGTCCACTCAGCGTCCCTGCTCACCAGCTGTGCCCACGGGGCCGTCCGAGGCTGATTTCGGAGAGAGATTGCCAGTTCTCTGAGGTGCCTCTGGGTGGACCTGACCCACCCACCTTTGGTCACCAGCTGGCTACGTTGACCATCTGCACCGCCAGAAGCCCTTTGAGTCCCCTGGGTTGGGGTCTGTGGACAGCGAGACTAGACACTGGGTTTCTGAAACGCTTTCCTCCCCAGTCTTCCCGACTCGCCCAGAGACCTGTACGCTTCTTAGACTGGATCTTACAAAGCCACTGCTGGCTCAGGTGGGGTACACCGAATGTTAACAGGGTCGGAGGTTCTTGTGGGTTTGTTATATGGTGGAGGCAAGACAGAAGTGCAGACAGACAGGTGAGTGTGAGCAGGAGGGCTGCCAGTGGCTGTGGAGGGGTGCCCTGGCATCATGTGACATCTGGGTTCCCATCACACATGTACCTGAAAAGACGTCCAAGCTAGATTAACCAGAAGACTGGGACAGCTGTTCACATGAGCGTAACTAACTGCTCACGGTCTGTACCTGTTGTTTACCTAGTGTAATCACCTGGCTGCCTCTTACCCTGTCCACAGTCAGCTCTTAGTAGTGGACCCTCTTCCACGGGACAGGCAGGGGTGGCCTCAGCCACTCTTGAGGCACAACGAGAGCGTGGAGGCACGAACGAGCTGAGAAAGGGCCGGAGCTCTGCCCTCTAATCCAACGACCCCAAGGTACCTTATCTTCCTTGTTGATTCTGCACCTGGCACTGTAACCTTGGTGCATCTCCTCAAGTCTGTCTGGGTTCAGAGCTGGAATCTGAATTTGAGTATCCTTCAGTAAATACTGAGGACTCGAGAGCTTCTAGAACACTTGCCTGGGTGTCACTTAGGACTGTACGTGGGCACTGTGCCCGGTGGGGGTTAGAACACACGGGTCCTGGAAGCAGGGGTCGTCTTTCTCTCCCTCACGTGGCTCACGCGGCATAGAGTATGTGCCTGGTGCGGCTCGCAGGGGGTCGACTGCAGCCGAGATCACGCAGCGGTGATGCTTAGAGCCGTGGTCCGCACCTGGCCTGTGTACTGGAGCCGCCCGGGGGGTAGGAACGACCCCGCAGAGTGTGGCCGTCCCCCGTGGTCCAGGGCCCGTGTCCACCCTTCCTCCCTCCTCGCCCCCTTCTCCCCCTCCCTCCATCCGCCCAGTTTCCTTCCTTCTTTTCTTGTCCTAATGTCAGCCAGAACAGTGAACACGGATGTGAAGGTTTGTAAGATTCAGTTCTGTGCAGATCAGTGCTTTGGGGAGTATTCTGTAGATAATACTAGAGACAAAGTATACTAGTGAGTGAGTGGATGTGGGAGACTGGCTGGCCAGTGAACCAAGGAGAATAGAAAGACAAGGCCTTAGATGCCCATGAGGACAAGTGAAGAGGAAGAACCAGGCCAGAATCCAGCCACAGGGCACAGGTCCTGACACAGCTCATCTGCTCAGCCCTCCCTCCTGGTGACCCTGCACACAGCCCCGTGCACCAGGCCTCACCCCCCACCTCCGCAGGTCGTCCAATGAACAGCACAGAGGATGGAACAACCACCCTGGATTTGCGAGCTCCTTCTAGAAGGCCGCAGTGCTGCTAAGTCTGGGCGGAGTGTGATCAGTTCTACATCAAAACGTATACATATGCTTGCAAGTCCCCTGGGTGTGGGGCTCGCATGTGTTCTAGGTTCTCTGTCCGGTGTGGTTGCCAAAGGGAGTCTGCCTAGGGCCCTTCCTGCCCGCCCGCCCGCCATCTTGTTTGCCGCCAAGAATCTTTTGGAACTCAACTGAAAGGGAAGCAGAGAAGGGAGGCCAGCGGCTGACGTGCACCCCACATACCACTGACTGACTGACCCTGTGTGCACTCGGAGGCATCTGTCAGTGGTCCTGGCAGCTGTGCCGCCAGGGTTTCCAACACTGGCAGGGTCACCCATGGTGGAGAGGTTTCAGGGAACTTCTGGACGATGACAGACTAGGTGGAAAGGACACTGGCAGGGTCACCCATGGTGGAGAGGTTTCAGGGAACTTCTGGACGATGACAGACTAGGTGGAAAGGACTGGCTTCTGAGAACCAGCAGTGGGAGGCCTGTGGGGCACAACAGACGCCCGTTCAGGACGCTGGCACACTACCTTCGGACGTCTCATCAGAAAAGGCCAGTTGTTAGGAAAGGACATTGTGACTGGTAGAGCAGGGGGTCAGCAGAAAAGAGTGGGACCCCCCCATGAGAGGGACCAACCCAACAGCCGCAGAATGGACTCCAACGTGGCAACGGCAAGATGGTGGGGGCCGGAGCCACAGACTGTCCTGTTGGACACGGGGTACGATGAGCTGGAGCCAGCTTGCCAGCCGCCACCACCACCAAGCTCTGCCGTATCTCCCGCAATCTTCTCTCACAAACACTACTTCTGATTCAGGAATAGAAATTTACGCTCACAGAGGGACATAGTCACCAGACAGGGAAGGAGCCAGGAGATCTGACGACAGAGCACCCACGCATGGCACAGGCCATCTCCTTCCCAGCACAAGGGCACGGGTGCTTCTTAGCCACGAAGACCACCCAAGCAACTTTCAGCCCCAAGCTAAACATGGGTCAGCACACTACACAGAGCGTACACACAGAGTCTTACACTACACAAGGTGTACACATGGATCATTACACTACACAGAGTGTACACGTGGATTAGTACACCACACAGAATGTAGTCCATGTGGATCAGTACACTACACAGAGTTTACACACAGGTCAGTACACTACACAGAGTGTACACATGGATCAGTACACCACACAGAATGTAGTCCATGTGGATCAGTGCATTACACAGAGCCTACACACGGGTCAGTACACTACACAGAGCGTACGCACGGATCTTTACACTACACAGAGTGTACACATGGATCAGTACACCACACAGAATGTAGTCCATGTGGATCAGTACACTACACAGAGCGTACACACGGGTCAGTACACTACACAGAGTGTACACATGGATCAGCACACTACACAGAGCCTACACATGGGTCAGTACACTACATGGAGCGTTCATGTAGCCTCCAACCTAAACATGGATCCGGACACTACACAGAGTGTACACGTAGATCAGTACACCACACAGAATGTAGTACATGTGGATCAGTACACTACACAGAGCCTACACACGGGTCAGTATACTATACAGAGTGTACACATGGATCAATATACCACACACAATGTAGTCCATGTGGATCAGTACACTACACAGAGCATACATACGGGTCAGTACACTACATAGAGTGTACACATGATCACTGCGCTACATAGAGTATACATGTCGATCAGAACACATCCATGTATATGTGAATCCATACGCCACATAGAGCGTGGTACAGTACACAGAGCCTACACACATCCATGTACCTGTGGATTAGTACACTGCATAGAGCATCCCTGAAACACGGAAAGCAGCTATGAATGCTTGAAATACATCCTGCACGAGAACGCTGGGGCATTTCTGTAAGCATGTTGCAAATTAGCTTTGCCTCTCGGGTCTTGTGCCCACTCTGAGTCCCTGAGTCCCATGACATGTCTGTAAATCAGAGTGGCAACGTGGACGCTACAGCATTGGACACAAAAGCTAACACTGAGATGCAGTCGCAGAAACCATCTGGCCCTGGGTCTGCTAGCCGTGGAACAACCGAGACCTAAGTGCTAAGGACCCAAGTCGGTGCGTCTTAAAGCTACCTGTGTGCTCTCCCAGGCCAGGAAACCAGCATGCCATGCTAGGTCCTTAAAAAGCACGCCAACAACCAAACGTCACTGTGCCAGCACCCATGTGGGCAAGCGGCTGCCAATGCAGGCGTGACTGTTGGGCTGGGAGGGGGTGCAGACAGCGAAATCCATTCCAGTTTTGGTTTCTCCAGATGGCACTCTAAAACGCAAATGGGGACACTTTCTGGAAGACCAGGGACGCCCGAGCCAGGGCTGAGCTGCAGGACCCTGTCCTTAGAAGAGGTCCGTGTGTGCTGCTAACAGCTCAGAGCCCTTTCTACTGGCCAGTGAACGCGTGACATTCAGAGCTGACCGGCGGATCACAGAGGGGCCTGGGGCCGGTGCGAGGAACGTCCCCTTTCTTGCAGAGACTCGGGTTCGATTCCCACACAAAGCCCCTCAGGCAGCCATTTGTTTGGGGAGTTGTGGCGTCGCTAGGAGGCGGGACAGGTCTTAGCTGACCCTCCAGACTAGGACAGCCGAGGAAGAAGCCTGGTGACGTCCCCCGGTGATCAGCCAGCGGAACCCCGTGGATCCCAGTGGGGGTGGTGCAGGCCTGGGCAGCGTTTCACTGTACACGCTTGGGGTCACCCCATGCTGAGGCCGACAGCAGGCCAGGTCTGGACAGCAGCGGAGCGGGCTGCCGCTGTAGGCTCCCCCCGCCCCCTCAGGTCCTGCCTCCCCACCCACTGCCCCACCCCTGCTTCTGAGCTCATTTCTAAAGATCTGGAACTTTCCTTGACGGCTCTACTTGGGCTCCTGGAGCCACCGTGCCCACAGTCACAGAGCAGAACGTGCTGCAAGCGTGTCCCTCCAGGCGACCTTCAG